TAAATCACCCACACAATTTGGCGCCGTCTGTGGGAAAGAAAGAAGAATAGATGGCCAATGACGGACAGAAGGATCAGATTGGAGACAACGCTCCTGCTGGGAGTGGGAGACCTATCAACCTCGACGTTGAAAGGGACGACCGCAACACAAAAACTCGTGACCAGAGTCACAGAGTGACAGACGCCGGCCCAAAAAGTGACGCATAAAAGACAACAGATCAAAGCGGATACTACAACGAAGATAACCTCTAGGTATGGAAGGATAGATACCTGCAGAGGAACGAAGACCCTTCCCGAAAAGATGCAAAGACAGGGGGCATGAGCACTCCCAAGGAGATAACATTCAAGTATAGAAGAACTCATCCTAAGTGAGCAGATCCTGGATTCCAGATACTGGATCCCGGATCCTAGAAGACATGATCTCGGCCTAGATAAGTAGGTCCGAGAAGAGAAGAGCTCAACCTGAGTGAGCAGATCCAAGATTCTAGCAGACAAGATCTCGGCACTTAAGTCCGAGAAGAGAAGAGCTCAGTGAGCAGATCTTAGATCCCAGAAGATAAAAAAAGAAAACACACAAAGTTGGACTGCAGTTAGCCAGGTTGAAGACCTTTTATAAGGTTCGCAAAGGAGTGTGTGGAAGCCATGCAGGGGGCAGAGAAAAGAAGAATATGTTTACCACTTGTTAAAATTTGTAGCAATTTACAAGTTGGTTAAACCGATATGATATTTACCACTTGTTGAAATTTGTGAACAATTTACAAGTTGAAGTTAAACTGAAATCATTATTTAACACTTGTTGAAATTTGTGAACAATTTACAAGTTAAGTTAAACCGAAATCATTGTTTAACACTTGTTGAAATTTGTGGACAATTTACAAGTTGAAGTTAAACCCAGATTATTGTTTAAACACTTGTTGAAATTTGTAGCAATTTACAAGTTGAGTTAAACCAGTATGATGTTCAACACTTGTTAAAAGTTTACAAGTTAAATTAAACCGATGTGATATTTAACACTTGTTGAAATTCTGTGTGAATTTACAAGTTGAAGTTAAACCGAGATGATATTTAACACTGGTTGAAATTCTGTGTGAATTTACAAGTTGAAATTAAACCGAGATGATATTTAACACTTGTTGAAATTCTGTGTGAATTTACAAGTTGAAGTTAAACCGAGATGATATTTAACACTTATTGAAATTCTGTGTGAATTTATAAGTTGAAGTTAAACCGAGGTCATATTTAACACTTGTTGAAATTCTGTTTGAATTTACAAGTTGAAGTTAAACCGAGGTGATGTTTAACACTTGTTGAAATTCTGTGTGAATTTACAAGTTGAAGTTAAACCGATGTCATATTTAACACTTGTTGAAATTCTGTGTGAATTTACAAGTTGAAGTTAAACCGAGGTCGTATCAGAAGACGATTGGTTTAAACATTTGTTGAAATTCTGTGTGAATTTACAAGTTATAGTTAAACCGAGGTCGTATCGAAAGGAAGATGGTTTAACATTTGTTGAAATTTTGAGAAAAATTTACAAGCTGAAGTTAAGCCGAGGTTATGATAAAGGATGATGGTTAAAACACTTGTTGAAATTTTTGAGAAAAATTTACAAGTTAAAGTCAAGCTCAAGCAATATCTGCGTACTTACCGAGACTACCAGGTTGTCAAAACTTGAAATATGGAAAACTGAAGTCTTGATAGAAGACATTGAGAAAGTGACAAGTCCGAAGCAACACTTGTGAAAATATTTGTTACAATATTTTCAAGTGTTAGGACAAGGCCGAGATGAGCAAGATTAGAAATTGTGACAGAAGTACTTTACCCGAAGAGATTGCACAGTCAAGGTGTACTTTGAAGACATGCAAATTATTCTAAGTGTAGAATCATACAAGAGTGGAAAAAAGAAGACATTCATTCAAAGAAGAAATTAGATAAATGCATTTAAAGAAGAAAGAAGGCACTTCGGCCTGAATATTGAAAAATAAATTATTCAGACTACAAAAATGGCACGTCGGCCGGATTAAAAGCATACAAAGAAGGACAAAGTACAAGGTACAAGGTACAAGGAGTAAAAGAAGGAAACAAAACTACTCGGCATCAATGGCAGGATATAAAAGACAGTTGGGAAGACTTCTTAGCAGCCTTCTCGGCCTCAAGCTCAGCATTGATCTCCGGAAGAGTTTGATCAAAGCTCTTCTCGGCGATTGGCACCTCGGAGTTTGAAGGCAAGGATTGAAAGCAAGAATTTGGAAAAAGACACAGAAAACAGAAACAAGAATGTAATTCGTAATCAAGAATGGTGATAAAGCTATCAGAAAATCAAGACAAAAAGATTGCACAGGTGTGTCAAGCCAAGAACAGTGGCAGAAATCAACAGATGCGTGAACAGTGTGCATTCAAGAAGATGATTTGGAAACAACGGGTAAAACAGCAATAGTGATTAAACAATGAAGCAGAGCTTCTTGGAAAGCAACAAGAAATAAAATCAGGAGGAACAGTGGCTTACCAGAAAGAGGGAAGTCGGAATGAGAATTGCCGAAATCTGATGACGGATGCGAAAATGACAGAATGACGTAAGCTTCACCGGAAGAGAGGAACAAAAACAGTTGTAGAGCTTGAAAGCTTGGAACAATGACGGATTTAAGCAAAAGAGCTAGAAAGAGAAAAAGCCATAGAATTGAATGAAAAAAGAGAAAAATCAAAGTCAAGAAGACGACAAAGTTCAAGAATAAAGCCAAGTGCACAGGCACTAAGTAAGTATGTGAAGAATAAGAAAGTAATGACCCAGACACGATGCTAGCAACAGAAAGCGAATATGGCAAGAACAGTGCCAGGCGTTCAAACAATTCAAAACTTGACGAAAATAGAAGACAACAGAGGGCAGGTAAACGGATTCAGAAGAGTTATGAAAGATTGAGCTTAATAAAAGAGTTTATGAACCTACCAAGAGAAATAAACGCCGATATGAACATCGCCGGAGTCAAATAGATGACTGGAAGTCGGGAACCCACCGAAGAATGTGAGTGGAGCAGTTGCAAAGCTCTTGGAGTTTACGAATTAATGGAACAAGAACTTCGGCTAGGAGGTGTGATCTCGAGCAGCTTAGAAAGCATGAAGCTTGATACTTGACAGAAGTGGACAGTAAAGTCCAGGGAACTTTTAGCTCTGCAAGTTTGATCTCGGACAGAGGGGCACAGATGAACGAATGATATAGGTTCTATCACCCGAGATGAAGGTAATAGAACCTAGGGGGCAGTTGTGGGGATATATTTTATGAGTACCAACACGTGGCCAAGGTGACGCCGACGTGTCAGCGGAGGTGCCACGTGTCCTGGTTGTTATGCCGAGGTCATCTCAAATAGGCCGAGGTTACCTCCGAAGATATCGGAATCTGAGATAAGCAGATGAGGGGCAAGAGTCCTAGAATGAGAGAAGACTTCAGTTTGTATTAAGATAAGACTCTTAAAGAACTTATCCTAATCGTACTGGGAGTCTATGATTAGCAGTAATCCTGAGTCCATAGAAGTTAGGCTTCTATTGGGACTAGGTTTATGTTGGCTATAAAAGAGAGGTACCCCCATGGGTCTAAGGTATGCTTTTGATACTCAAGCTTGTGAGTTTAGCACTTGATTTATTTTTGAGAGATATACTGACTTGATCGTTGGAGTGCCCCCAGGTGGACAAACCACCGCTAGTATCTTCTCTTTCTGTTGCAGGTCAGCCAGGTGGCATCTATTCTACCGGTGCTCTCCAGCTGGATACTAAGCGGGCAGTGTGATCAGAAAATCACCCACACAGATACAAATGTGAGCGAATAAATAGGTAAACGATATCCGATTAACTTAATTTTTTTACAGGCATGTTCTATTTAATATATACTAAAATGTGAACAGTTCGGATTATCGAAATAGACTTCAAAATAAGCTCATTTCACTACACAACGGTGGTTGCTGTGCGAGCAAATCTATCAAATAGTGCCTTTAGTCATCTTAGGTATCTTAAGTTTGGTCAAGTGATACATGAGAGAGTTGTGATCGGTGAAGTTAATGAGATCCACAATTTTGTATTGGGGTATATGAAACTACAAAGAGCATATTGTTTGGTAATTGGAAAGTGACATAATTATATGTTGCCCCAAATATATGTTGCCCCAACGACGCTGAATAAACTTTTTGATGTGTACAACTTTCAAAATCAAAACGATTAATTGATCACTCGAGCAGGTGCCTTAAGGTTTTGTTTAAAAATGAAAAGTAAAAAGATAAAATATATGTAATTGAAATATAAATTAAATTTTGTTATTTAAATACGATATAAAAAATATTATAATCGATGAAAAATAGTTTAGTATCACATTTTTTTTCAAGCATAGTCCATCACTTTGTTCCTATGATATTTTATTATTAATTTCTTCAATCTCAAGAATGTCAAAATAAATAAAATAAATATTTTTAAGAGCAATTATTCGGTGTCACAACAATACTGCTACGTATTATTGACTAATTAAATAATAATAAGGACATAATAGTTTGTAATGCCTTATGGACACCGAATAATTTTTAACTTTCATCACCAAAAACTAAAATATTTACAAGAAATATATCCCTCGATAAAAATCACTCATTTTTATATTTTTTTAATAGCATTCCCATGAAACAAAACAAATTAATTGTAAGATTCATTATTATTGTTTTAAATTTATATGTACAGATAGAATTTGTTATGCTTATCTAATAAGAGATAAAACAACTAGAAAAATTCATTCTTAATATATAACAACTCTCATTTTGTGTATTTCATATAATCCATTAATTAAATACAAAAATGTTAAGTATATATCTAAATAGATTCATTTTACATGTAACACATATCACACTACATTTAAATTTATACCATATATGTGAATTATAAATAATTTTTAAGCTTTGTTTTCTGAGTATAGTATTTTTTATTCACGTAAGAAAAAAAAAATAAAAAAATAAAAAATAATAATAATAATAATAACAAAAAGATTAACCTCAATTTCATTTGCACTTCTTCCAATTTCTATTCTCTATACAAGTCTCTTATCAAATCCAATATTAAACACAATCTTAACATTACCACTTCTAAAGGATTGTTTGAACCATAGAATTGAGTCAAGTATCTATGAAGGGGGAAAAAAAGAAGGAAAGGAAAAGTTAGAATATCTCTAATGACAAATGTTATAATAGTATTGTTATTATTATAATTTGACAATGAATAATAAAAAATGACAGAATTATAGCAATGTGCAATGGTAAGATGTTATTTTGGCATAACCAAACATAAAAACTGGTGTGTTCGGACGATCAGCTGTCAGAACACACTAGTTTATGTGTTTGGTTTTGCAAAAATGATGATTTTGCAAAATTTGTCTGTTTTTCTAAGAGGGGGAGGGGAGGGAGGTTTTGAGAGCTGTTCGCATATATGATAGCTACCAAAACTTATGTCAAATTTGACACACGCTTGGTATTTATCAAATTTGACAGCTGTCATATGTGACCATTGGAGCATTACTTTTCTTCTCAACAGTCAAATTATAGCTATAGCAGCTCCAATGACAAATCATTACAAATGCTCTAACAAAGTTTTTCAAAATTTATTTTTTGAATTTTTTTTTAAAAAAAATTAGAAATTAGTTTAATGGAAATAAACACACACAAAAAAGAAAGGTGCTTTAGTTTAATTTTGAAAATTTTGAAAAATCAAAATCTGTAAACCTTTTTCTTTTTTTTCCTTCGTAAATTCGACATTCAAACAAAACTTTTGAGGTATAAAATGGTGACGAGATTCATGAGAATGGGCCCAAACCCGCCGCCGTGGCCAAACTCCTTGGAGTTGTCGGACTTTGAACCATTGCTATCGCATTCATCTGCGATGACACTCTCCAAATCTTGACCGACTTATCGAGACTCCCACTATAAACGATCCAAGCATCATCCCCTCCCTTGGCTTCCCTATCCTCCTCCACCGCCAAACATTTGACCGGCCCGGTATGCCCTGTCAACACCGACAAACACACATGCTCTCCAACACCTTCCGCCGACGCCTCTCTCCGCCACACGCATATCTTGGTATCCGCTGACCCACTAAACACCAAATTCCCCGTCGCCGCCAAACACAACACCGCCAACTTATGCCCCCTGAGAACGCAGCCGTGGGAACCCAACTGCTCCCTCTCCCAAAAATACACAACCCCATCGGACGATCCACAGTAAAGCATCTCCACCAATCTATTCACCGCCAACGCCGTCACGGCGCAGTCTTGCTTTAACAAAATCTGTGAAAAAAAGTGTTTGGTACCCTTCCCCTGCATCTCTCGCCGCCATATCTTTACACTCCCATCGGCGGAGCCCGTGAACACCAACCCATCAAAGCCGGCAACCACCGCATTCACCGCGTCATCATGAACATGAATCGATTCCAAGCATTTCGAATTCGATACTCTCCAAACCTTCATTGTTTTATCCCAAGAAGCAGAGTATAACAATGATTTGTCTTCGCTCAAACTAAGACATGATATCGCATCGAAATGTTTGATCCAAACCGCATTTCGATTCCTTCTCACCTCAACATAATTGCTCGGATTGATCGAGCTCTTTATATATGCTTTCAACGTCGGTAAAGTCCCGATTCGTTTGTGAATTGTTGGATTCTTCGCAGACACTTTCCATAATCGAATCTTCCCGTCTTGATGACCCGTGAAGATTATTTCATTTGCAATTACAATGGCTTTAACTAACCCACTATTCGATTTGAACCCAGAAAACTCTTTCTGATTCTTCCATACCCGGATGTTCTTGCTATCAGAACCAGTGTATAACAAGTCTCCAGAGGTGGCAAGCGAGTATATATGCCCTTCTTCACGAACAAGAGAACCCATTAGGCCTGTGTATGAATACGTATCGTCGATTTCAGCGGCGTGAGAGGACCACGGAGATTTCGATAACGGGGAGGATTCGTCCCAGGAAGTTGGGTTTGGTGGAGAAGTGTTAGGAGGGCTAGTGTCGGCATTGCTGAATCGAAATGATTCGTCGGCGGGGTCGTTTGGATCGGACTGCTGTTGTTGTGACATTTTGCCATATTTTGGGCGGTGAGAACTGTTGGTTTCTGCGATTTTGCTGCCTCTTCTTGAGCTTTTCATGGTTGTGTTCTCTCATGTATGGAAAGGTTTTTGTTGGCTGAAATGAATTTGGAAGAGAAACTCTTTGCTTTGCTTGTAATGGAGATGAAGAAAGAATAAAGAGAAAAACCAGGTTCTAAGAAAACCGAAAGTGATTTGATTTTTGGAAAAAAGAAAAAGAAAAAAGAGAAACAGAGGGAAGGGTGATTAAAGAATCAAAAGGTTGGAGAAGATGGTGTATATACAGTTATATATATAAATAGTAAAAGAGAAAAAAAAGGGTTGTAATGGTAGTTCTCAGGGGAAGAGGCTTAATGGTTTACCAAGCGTCCTAAGTTTTTTGTGTCAAAACTATTTTTGGGTGGCCTAGTTTTGGTAAATAAGATTGCATACAAGTCATTTTTTTTTTTCGTTAATGAAATATGTCTTAGAAACTCATTTGTTCGTAACATGACTGTTTTGATAATGTGTGATACAATGCAAAAAAATAAAATAAAATAAATAAATAAATATTATAGTTGCACCGGAACTAAATATATAAATCAAATATTGTTAGAAATGGGCGGCTATGTGGCATGACCCTTTTGTATCTTTTGAAGCTTATTCAAATGAGTTTTAATGGCATGACCCTTTGAATCTTTTGAACCTTATCCAAATGGGTTTTGAATTCAAATTCAAACCTATTTGGATAACCACTCATATATATATATATCATATAATTGATATGGATAGATGAAATATCTTATATTATCTCATATAACTGATATGGATAAATGAGATAAACATATTATATATCTGATAATATGGGTTATGGGTGATTAAGAGAAAAAAACGTATGTTTGTTTTTTTCTCATATACTGACTCTCTCCCAAAAAATCAACAACGATCAAAGCCATTTGTAAGCCATTTGTGTGGGTGATATTCACTATTGTAATATCACTCCATTGCTGAGTTGACTGATCAGATTTAGGAAGCACGTGATTTACCCATGAGATCCTTCAATTCAGACTCTGTTCTAAAGGTATGACCATAATTTTTATTCCGCTGCATTATACTTTATTTAACATTGGTATCAGAGCGTGAATGGGTATTTTCGTGTTTTTCTTTAATCATTTGTATATTTTTATATGTATATATATACATCATATACATGAATGTTTATAAATGAGGAAAAATGTCTACTTTTATTAGATTAAAAACATAAATACCTAATTTTATGTTCATTAATGTCTTTTTTAATACCATAAATGGTTTTATTTTAAAATATGGAGTCTGGCAGTACAATAACTAGACCGGAAAATACCCTGGAAGGCGGCGCGTGGGCCTCAAGCGCCACCTGATGCCATGAGCCGCTTCCACGTGCTGCCACGCGCCAGACGCCCTGCCGACGCGCCTGCACGCGCCCTCACGCGTGGGTCAGCGACACTGTCCACGGGCGCGCCCTCCGCACGACGCGCCTGCACGCGCCCTCACGCGTGGGTCAGCGACACTGTCCACGGGCGCGCCCTCCGCACTACGCACGTGAGCCACGGGCTAAGCCGCGCGCTGAGCCGTGTTCTGAGCCGCGCGCCGAGCCGGGTGCTGAGTCGCGCCGTTTTCCTCTGTCGGCTCGGCTAGCTTGGCTGCTGATGAATTAGGCATTGTTTGTTTTATTTTTAATTCTGAATTGCGTTAAATGGTCATAATTAATTCATTATAGATTTGTTTTATGAGTGGTTAGTACTGTTAGACTCAAAATTAAATTTTCTATATTCTGTAAAATTTTGAAAATTTTATGAAAATAAAAAACATTTTTCCTGTGATTATAATTCATTATTTATGCTTCAAAATACTTCTGGTATTGCATAAATTATTTTCTGGGGTTGAATTTTTTATTGTAGACTTCTGAAATGTTTTACTATTTACTGGAATATTTTTTTTAGTTTATCAGTTTCTGAATTTTTTATTTCTAATTTTAATGTGTGTTTGTTAGTTATTTAAAATTCCAAAAAATTTCAGAATGATGTACATTTTAATTATGGCATAATCTGAATATTTTTTCAGTTTATCAGTTTCTGAATTTTTTATTTCTAATTTTAATGTGTGTTTATTAGTTATTTAAAATTCCAGAAAAATTCCAGAAAATTTCAGAATGATGTACATTTTAATTTTGGCATAATCTAAATATTATATACAACATATTTTTGGGTTTGTAATATTTGCAATTAAAGAAGCATGATTAGTTATTTATTTATTTATTTGAATTCCGTTATTAAGTGAATATAGCATGAGTTAATTGCAAATTTACTTTAAGATGTTATTGTATGGAATTTATCATGCTTTGTATACGCCATAAGTAGTGGGAGATTTTTTTTTTTTTTTTTTTTTTTTGCGCATGGAATTAAATTAATTTTTGATAATTATCACTAGAGGCGCAAGAGATGATTACGAGAATAGCAAATTTTCAATCTTGAGACATGTGTAAAATTATCATTATTTAATTTAGATTCTTTTGTTACAAAATAATTTTTTGTGTTGCTATCATTAATATCCCCTGCGCATTTGTTTACTCTGTATGTAGAAATGGCTGCTAAGACAGTGGTAGCAGACTTAACTAAGGGAGAGAAATTGGATGGCGACAATTATGATATATGGTGCTGGAAGATCCAATACCTCCTCAATGAGCAAGAAGTGTTGACCACACTTGAACAAGTGATGGTTGAGCCAGAGCAGGGCAATACAGCTCAACATCGTCGTGATCTTGAAGCCTTTCAGACTTGACGTAACAAAGATCGGTGTGCGCACTTTACTATGTTGAGCAGCATGCACAACGACTTGATTAGTGAGTTTGAGCATTGACCGACTGCATTTGAGATGTGGGAAGCTCTCAAGCAAAAGTTAGGTATTACCTCTTTGGCAAAGCTACGTGGGCTGACTATGAAGTTTGACTTATATCAAAAAATGGCGCATCACTCGATGAAGCAGCATTTGAGGGCCATGTCAGCCATGATACATGAGCTTGCGGCTGCTAGGCACAATTTGACTCAAGAGCAGCAAGTTCAAGCTGTGATTCGCTCTCTGCCAAATTCTTGGGAGCAGATGAAGCAGAACATGATGCATAATGAGAGTGTGAAAACATTTGAAGACATATCGCGTCATTTGGAGCTAGAGGCTAAGCGCCTTGAGGAGGCTAAGTCTAATGGTTCTGCTATGGTGGTTGAGTCAAGCTCACGTAGGACTTCTCAATTCAAACGTGGAAAAGCAAAAGGTGCCCCTAAGAAGCAAGCAACAGCTGCGCTTAAGCCCAATGACGCTAGAAATTTCAAGCGTAGGAGCAAGAGAGGTGGTAAGAAGGCAAAGGCTAAATTGACATGCTTTAACTGTAACAAAGAAGGACACTTCGCTCGGGATTGCCCTGAGCAGAAGAAGGTACTCCCTTACTTAATTTCTCGCATTCAATGCTTTGTGTCTAGTCAAGCATTAATTGCTCATTCTCCTCATTTTTGGGTTGTAGACTCCGGAGCAACAGACCACATCGCGAGGGACAGAGTAGGGTTCGTTGAGTATCGCCGAGTACCTGCTGGGACACATCGCGAGGGATAGAGTAGGGTTCGTTAAGTATCGCCGAGTACCTGTTGGGAGCAGAAAAGTTTACATGGGGAACGAGTCCAGTGTGGAGGTGCTTGGCATTGGCACATTTAAGCTGGAAATGCGACGAGGGCGCACCTTGTATCTTCATGATGTTCTTTATACTCCCGATATTCGGCGAAACTTAGTTTTAGTTATTAGCATGATGAGCCTTGGTTTTAGCTTTTGTTTTGAGAATAATGGTGTTAGCATTTATTTGGGAACAATTTTTTATGGTTTTGGTTATCTTTCAGATGATTTTTTAGTTTTGGATGTGGATGATTCTAGTCTTAATAAAAATGCCAATGGCTCTGTTTCTGATATTGCATCTTTTTGTGATAATGATTCTATGAGATGGCATGCTAGATTAGGCCACATAGGGCAAGACATGATGACTAAATTGGCTAGAGAAGGTCTTTTAGGCCCACTCGCTAGAGTCACTTTGCCTACTTGTAAACACTGTCTTGCTGGAAAGGCAACAAGGAAACCATTTGGGAAAGCCATAAGGGCATCTATCCCATTGCAACTTATTCATTCTGATATATGTGGACCAATGAATGTAAGGGCAATGCATGGAGCCCCTTATTTCATCACATTTATAGATGATTGCACGCGTTTTGGTCATGTCTATTTGATTTCTCACAAGTCAGAAGCATTGGATTGCTTTAGACGGTATGTTAATGAGGTTGAGAATCAATTAGACAGGAGCACTAAGGCTCTAAGGACTGACCGAGGACGTGAGTATCTATCTGAGCAATTTAAAATGCTCTGTGAGGAAAAAGGAGTCATCAGGCAATTGACAATTCCTAGGACTCCGCAGCAAAATGGTGTAGCGGAGAGAAGGAATCGCACATTGCTTGACATGGTTAGATCAGTGATGGCGCAAGCTAATCTTCCCATTTCTTATTGGGGAGATGCTTTGTTGACTGCTGTCTATGTCCTTAACCTTGTGCCCTCCAAATCAGTTCCTTCCATCCTATATGAGATGTGGACTGGCAAAAAGCCTGATTTGGGCGATTTGCGGCCTTGGGGTTCAGCAGCTTACATACACAACGCTTCTCATAAGTTTGGGAAGTTGGGCCCTAGAGGAAAGAAGTGTATCTTCATTCGCTATAGTGAGCATTCTAAGGACTATGTGTTTGTTGGGGAGCATTCGGATGGAAGTGTGACTGAAATTGAGTCACGAGATGTGGATTTCCTAAAGGAGGATTTCCCTAGCAAAGGTGAGGTAACTAGAGAAGTAGAACTCTATGAGATGGAGGATCTACTTGAAGGCGCACCTAGTAGCCTAGTGGAGAATGAGGAGATAATTCCTTAAGCTCCTAGGGACAGTGGGAGCGATCTACCTACCCATGGATTAGATCCAACGGATGAGGATTCTCAGGATTCTCAACTACGTAGAAGCAAACGTGGAGCTATACCCCGTCGTCGCTTTGAGATTGAAGGAGAGGCATTCATGATTGCTCTGAGTGATGAGATGGAGCCTAAGAATCTCAAAGAGGCTCTCTCATCCCCTAGTAGTAAAGAATGGAGTACTACAATGGATGAAGAAATAGATTCTATGAAAAAAAATCATGTTTGGGACCTGGTTGATTTGCTGCTAGGGCGCAAGACTATTGGGAACAAATGGGTTCTCAAAATCAAGCGCAAGGCGGATGGTTCCATAGAAAGGTATAAGGCTCGCCTAGTGGCGAAAGGTTATACCCAACAAGAGGGTGTGGACTATAAGGAAACTTTTTCACCAGTTATAAGGCTTGCCTCTATTCGCCTAATCTTGGCCATAGTAGCTCAGTTGAACTTAAAGCTATATCAGATGAACGTTAAGACTGCATTTCTCAATGGAGAATTAGATGAAGAGATCTATATGGATCAACCAGAAGGCTTTGTGGCAGTAGGTCAGGAGCGCAAAGTTTGCAAGCTTCAACGATCTATTTATGGCTTAAAGCAATCATCCAGACAGTGGAATTTGAGATTTCATCGAGCCATTATTTCTAATGGGTTTACGATGATTGATGAAGATCACTGTGTGTACGTTAAGCGGTCCAAGGACATTTTTCTGATATTGTCATTATATGTAGATAACATATTATTGGCTGGAAATGACAAGGAGATGATTGTCGCCACTAAAATGTGGTTGTTCTCTACATTTGAGATGAAGAACATGGGTGAGGCGAGCTATGTGCTTGGTGTTAAGATCCTTAGGGATCGCTCTAGGAGACTTCTTGGTTTGTCTCAAGAGACTTACATTAAGACTATTCTAGAGCGATTCCAGATGCAGAGCTGCAAACCCATTGACACTCCTGTTGCAAAAGACGAGAGCCTAAGTCTTTATATGGGTCCTAAGACTCAAGAAGAAAATGAAAAGATGGCCCGTGTTCCCTATGCAAATGCTGTTGGAAGCTTGATGTATGCTATGATGTGTACGCGTCCTGACATTTGTTATGCAGTCAGATTGGTGAGTTGTTACCAATCCAACCCAGGACCAGCTCATTGGAAAGCAGTTAAGAGGATATTACGATATCTTAGAGGGACTGCAGATTGCACACTTTGCTACCAGAGTTCAGATCTAGACCTAGATCAGCGTAAGTCTACTTCAGGATATGCTTTCATGCTTAGCGATGGTGCTATTTCTTGGAGCAGTAAGAAGCAATCCTATATCGCCTTATTGACGATGGAGGCTGAATTTGTGGCTTGTTCATCTGCCGTTCAGGAAGTTGTGTGGTTGAGGAGATTCCTTCAGCATTTGGATGTTGTCACACACACTTCAGACCCTGTGACTATCCATTGTGATAGCATAGCTGCACTCGCTTACGCTAAGGATCCTAAATACCACGACAGAACCAAACACATTGATGTGAGGTTCAACTTTATCAGAGACATTTTGGCGCAGAAAGAAGTGATCCTAGAGCACATCCCTACAAGTCGCATGGTTGCGGACCCTTTGACTAAGCCCATTGCTAGAGATGTTTATCTGACTCATGTTAGGGCTTTAGGACTACGTAGGTGGTGATATATTTATGTGTATTCAGTTGAATTCATTTTTTTGGGGATATTTATGCCATTAGTATTCATATTTGTTTCTATTACACATTTATGTTTACTACCTTTTGCAATGGTTTGTGAATTAGCATACACAAAATAATTAAATTGATGTTAGCAGGCAAGATTGGCTCACTCACACGAACAATCGCCCTTAGCGCTAGGTAGCGAGTAAGGATGAGACTAGTGGCTTATTGTATTTGGAGCAAATAGAAAAGCCAAAATTATCCACTAGCTATGTCGCCTTGGTTGGAACCAAGATGAGGTCTTGTTAGAGACCGACCATGGATATGAGAGTACCCACTTTTTCCATGATGTGCCTGTTATGGATAGCCAGATGCGAGATCTCATTTGATGCCTGAGAGGCGAGCAAATAGAAAATTCGAGTTAGACGCTAGGAAGTGACTTGTGCACTTAAGAGCGACTAGACTAAGATCTGTATAGTGCGTGAGTTTAATATCACTCTTTGGAAGAGTTACTCCACTATAACATGTATTCATACTGCATATGCTTATCGACCCGTTAGTGAGGTGAAAGAATGGATCCCTGCTTCTTCACCGTGTGAGTTCTAAAAGTCATTTTTCCCTAAATGACTTCACTTTGTGCCTTTTGTGACCTTTGACTATGTCATAAGATGAGGAGTTGATGTTCAGCTACTTGACTTTACTTTGTGCCTTTTGTGACCTTTGACTATGTCATAAGATGAGAAGTTGATGTTCACCTACTTTGGTATGTTGCCTGTGGTCATGTATGATTCGGCTTTAAGGGACATTACTGGGAAAGCGGTCAATTTCAAATTGAATGATATGAGGGTGAAGGGAAGATCATCTAGTTCTACATCTCTGCTCTATATTCACTGTCGACAACTCACATCGTTCTTTATAGGATGCTGATTGGGTGTGAATATAATGCGGGACCTAGGAGAGTCAAACATGCTCTTTGAGGGATTAGAGATGTTTTTGGACTGATGTAGCTAGATGGGTCTGGGTACATGAGACACTATTTCTGTTCTTTTTGGGTTGATGTCTCTATGCTGACTTATATTGAGTTTCTAGTATAGAGCTCCCACATGCAGGTGTTCTCAGCGGTCGCACGGTGCATTGGCTAGTATGAGGTTGTTCATTTTTGGGGAGATTGAGATAGAGATGTGGCAGTGTCATGCCAACTCATGTGCGAGTACGAGATGTTAGAAGTGGGTGCCCATGTGGCATGACCCTTTTTTTATCTTTTGAACCTTATCCAAATGGGTTTTGAATTCAAATTCAAACCTATTTGGATAACCACTCAGGATATATATATATATATATATATCATATAATTGATATGGATAGATGATATATCTTATATTATCTCATATAACTGATATGGATAAATGAGATAAACATATTATATATCTGATAATATGGGTTATGGGTGATTAAGAGAAAAAAACGTATGTTTGTTTTTTTTCCCATATATTGACTCTCTCCCAAAAAACCAATGATCAAAGCCATTTGCACTGTGATTTGTGTGACTGATATTCACTATTGTGATTTGTGTGGGTGATATTCACTATTGTAATATCACTCCATTGCTGAGTTGACTGATCAGATTCAGGAAGCACGTGATTTACCCACGAGATCCTTCAATTCAGACTCTGTTCTAAAGGTATGACCATAATTTTTATTCCATTGCGTTATGCTTTATTTAACAAATATAACTCTCTTATGCAAGTGTGGGAACAATGAATTGATCAAAATGCAACAAAATAAATCTTTTAACAACCATGTGTATAATTGGACGTTTTGCTTTCTTAAGTTGGATAGTATGAGGATTGGGGATTATTTGACATCATATTTATTGGTTTGAGAATCAAATTGACAAAAACTTAAAAGGTTGTAAATTAAATTACAAAAAAAATACATAAAAAAAAAAAATTGCATACTTAAGATGATGTGTTTTAAATATGTGACTTTTTCTTGTATACACAAAAAGTTAACCTTTGACTGTTAATTTGTCCATTCATCTAGTTTTCTCTTATAAATCGCCCGTCTTCTATGTGAATACAAATCTTATTTGGCAGATATCATTTTTTTGAGAAAATATGAACTGTAGAGATATATTAAAATATTTTTTTTTGAAAAATAAATATGTAAAATGCAAGTTACAATATTTTAAAATAAAATAAATAAAATAAAAGTAAACATGTTACGCTACACTTATATTGTTTATGCACCATCTCGACTTGTAATAAGGTGCAGGTATCTGAATGAAGTAATGAAATGTAAGAATATTGGATTAAGAAACGTTTTGTATATTTTATGGTATGAGAATTATAGAAAAATTCTCCTCTTATACCATTACACTTTCGCATTCAATGTCTTACGCAATGGCCAATTTCCTCATCTCTTTCTCGCTTGTTATTCTCTTTCATAATACTATTATACTATTTTAGTTTCATACTCTCTGATTTCTGAGACTTCGTTTGGCATAAAAAGTCTAGATTAAAATAATCACAAAAAGACAAAATAAATTAAAAAATCAATAAAACAAGACATCACATCCAAACAATAATCATTACATTTTTTCTTTCACAAAAATAAAAAAACTTATCTCAAATAAAAATTTTTAACTTTCAAATTAAAATAACTAAAAAAACAATCCAGGCTGAATAACTTGAAAAAGACTACTCTTTCTAACATAGAGGACGGTGAGACCGACGAGTTAGAATATGCTATGATTATTTGTCACATTCAAATTTTCTAAAATTGGAGTTTTGCTTCAACCTTTCTCTTTTGCTAGGTCAACAACATATCCTGCCCAAGTCAAATGCATGCGCTTTAAAAACCATTTCCCACTATAAAGTTCAATCTTTAAAATTATATTGAGTTATGAATTTAAGTAGGAATTTGAAAAGGTATCCAAATTCATTATTCAAGCATAGAGTAAAATTAAGAACGAAAAATACAAAGTTTGTGCCGATTTTGTAAACATACAAATGTACACCAGCCAAAAATATAAGAATGAACATATAAGAACAATGCAATAACAAATAAAAATAAAATGGAAAAGACTGAATGAAAAGAAGAAAAAAAACATACATTTACCAAGGACAGGAAAATCAAATGAAATAGAAGATTAGCTTCACTTGAAAACACATTCACTAGTACAATGACATAAATCTGTCAAGAAGCATACTAAAATAAAATATACACAAATGAAACCTTGAAAATATTCCAAAACTTCATTCCATAATGTCCTAAACGTGCTCTATGTAATATTCTAGATTTACCATTTTTCTTTTTTCTGTACTTTTTTCATCATCTTTCCTTGCAACTTAACAAGAACTTTATGATTATACAACACCCCAATGGACTTCCCAATCAAATATATCGTTGCACTGAATCTTTTCAAGAAAACATCAAACTCAAATTAGGTCTAAAACCAAGACAAGAGGACTAGAATTTAAGCATTGATTCTTTTTTCAGCAATTTATTAAAGAGGAAGTAATGAATATAAAACAGAGAGTAGAACTAGAATTTCAACAGGTAAGCCCACCATGCTATCAAAATCATCGTACATTACTGACTGAATGCAAGACAATTAAACATGTTATTTCACCTAAACATACATATGTTCACCCCCACGAACGGCATTTGCAGCCCCTTTCCTCTCTTCTTCAGCCTCCTTCTCCCGCTCCTTCCAACTTTCATACTTATGGTCATCAGTTTGCAGTTCATGCCGACAGATAGGACACGAATTGTGTTCATCCTGACAAAAGTATAACACATTAATTAGAAGGGAAAAATATATATGACTACTAATTTGATTTATCTCACGGCCTAAGAAAAAATACAAACCATTACATTTATAAGAAATAGAGTAAAGATGTTATAATGTTATACAATTACACTAATTAACACATTAACAAGTTTTGATACATTACCAGCCATGGCTTAAGGCATGGGGGGTGAAATTTGTGTTTGCAAGGCAACTCTTGCATCTTGTCATTTGCAATCAAGTTCTCCTTGCAAATGGCACACTCTGCATCTGGTCCTAGCTTGGCCAAGATTTCTTCTGTAATAGTGATGATTGGAAGCTTTGCCACCACTTCTTTACTGGCAGGTGGTGCTCTCGGGGCCACTGAATCGTTCTCCAGAATCTTGAAACAAATAGACAACAACATGATTGGTGTTAACTCTAATTGACCTTAACACGACCCTTAACATATTCTCTCGTGAAACAAATAGACAACAATATGATTGGTGTTTACTCTGATTGACCTTAACATGACCCTTAACATATTCTCTCTTTAAAAGTAAAATACTAATACACAACCAGCGAGTGGACCACTGTTCAATAACCAACTCAAATTTATACCTTTGTAGTTGCAGATGGCAATGAAAGCAAATTTTGCTTTCTTTCCTATTGTTTTTCTTTTATATCAATTTTTGAGTGGAGAACCTGAACCATACTCAGATAATTGATCTAAGATGGTAAAATAAATATGCATTTTAATTGTTGTTTTTTATATTTTTTAGAAATATTAAAGAGGAACTGGCCTGCACATGATTTGTCATAACCAAAAAGATGAAGGTAAATAATACCAGTGGCAAAGCATCATCCAAGTTATCTATAAGCTCTTGAATTAGATTGGCCGCACTTTCTGACATGTTATTATCTTCGGTTTGTCCTTGAGAAGGTTCAGCCGCCATAAGAGTAGCAACAGTTGACAAGAGGTTTGACTGTGCCAACCATCGAGGCTGTGGAGGCTCGGGATCCACGGTTAGATGCCCCTCAAAAAGGAATCCTGAATCAATACAAAAGAAAAAACATTGATAAACTTGTTGCTGCCAAACTCTGAAAGCTTTAATACATAGAGTACAATAATTTAAGAATCAAAGTACTGAGAATTGTTTGAAAGAAATGCTGACTGACTTTGGCTGGGATTTCGTGCAGACTCTGGAACTTCGGATTCATTATCTACTTCACGCAGATGTTCATGGGCTTGAGCAATGCAACTCCGCAAATGTTCCCTTTCAGAGGACTCGGATGCTAGTCTTTCAGCTTCAGTGAAAAGTCCCAGCCCAGCAATCCAGAATCCTGGCGCAGTGTATCTTGCTTTCAGAATAGTTGCAACCCGGCACACAACAGAGAAGAACTGCAAAATTAGGACGGTTTGATCAACATACAAGAGTTCCCACTACTAAGAGCATCTCAATCCTTTCACCAAATCTTTTCAAATTCAATTTTGGTGAAGAAAGAGCTAATCGTGAGCTTTAATCATTTCATCAAAATTGTATTAAATCAAGAGAAAGGCAAAATTTTCACCAAATCAAGGTTAAACCAAATTTTCAATAGTCATATTTTTACTCAAATTTTATGAAATTTGGAAACGAGTCGGGATTGGAGATATTTTCTTTCATAAAAATGGTTAAAACAGGTTTTCAGGATAAGTTTGGAATTTTCAAAAAGATTTGATGAGAGAGAAGGAGAGAGAGAAAGAAGATTGGAGTATTCCTTAACAAGCTTTTAACCAAATTTTCACTCAAATGTAAACATGTAAAACTTGAAATGGAGCGAAGTGGGGATCCTAATCCTATCCTTGTCTAATTATTCACTCTTCAAAAATAAAAATAAAAATAATCAAAACAACAAGAAGAGAGAAGAAAATTTGAACACAATTATATTATTATTGGTTCACTGAAATGCAAAAAGAAAACACTTTCATAAACTTACTTGCCAGTTAAGAAATTCTAACAAAAATAAGTAACACAAGGGTAAATTACACTCATCTCCTTCAGCTGTGAAAAAAACTCGCCAAGCCTCATTATTTTATCATAATTATAATTACCTCCCTATCCATAGTAATAGTAAGGTAGGTTAAAAATACTGAAACTAATGCCAGATATAAAAATAATTAAAATAAAATATATATACTTCAGAGATGACAATAAAATCGTATGATCAACAATTCCTGATGAAAAGGGATTAAGGATTATGCAGATTAAAATCTTAAGAGGCCTAATGTACTTATGCCAAAGGTACGGGTTAATTTTACCCTAGTCCAATTTACCCTTAATTATATATATGTGTATATATATATATAAACTTTCTTTTTACATTCAATTGACATGGTCTTCGTTTGAATTACTAATAAACATGTAGCTTAAAAATATGAGAAATCAGAAATTAATGTGTCAAAAACAAAATCATATCAATCAATCCAGATAAAGATAGTCTACAATTGAAGCTAAACAAACCGATCTCCATCAAAAAAATAATTACAGAAAAGTGAAATCGAGAAGGTACGGACCAATTTGCGGAGAGAAGGAGAAGCGGAAGGGTAGATTTGGAGAAGGAGAGATTTGATGGAGGAGACAGTGTCCTCGAACATTTGTTTCTTCGCGAGCTGTTTCTGCAATTCTTGCAATTTCTGTTTCACTCCTTCTTCAGATGCCATTTCCTTTTCCTTTTCCTTTCCTCTTCTTCTTGTTTCTCTGCTCTGGTTCCTCACGGTGCTTAGCCTCGCTTCCTCGATCTTCTTCCAAACCCTTGTATGTAATTTCCTTCTTCTCTGCCGTTTTTGCTGCTTTTTATGGTTTTTTTTTTCGTGTTTAAAAAGAAATAGATTGTGTAATTTATACTGACCTCCCTATAGTTTAGAAAAAATATATAATTAGTACTATTATTTTGATATAATTAGAATAATGCCCTAAAATAATAGCAAAGTTAATGAAACAAAGAGCTTTGTAAAATTAAAATATTGTCCTTTTGTATCACAATGAAATTACCTTTTTGGGCTAACACACAACAAAAGCCACGTTCAACATCGCATACATCTTCTATTTTCTACCATTACTACGTACTACCTGAGAGGGTAATTTGTGAACAAATTGGGCCAAGCTAAGGAAGGGCCTTCTTTGTAAGTTGGGCCGTACAAATGGGCCGGGGTCAAGGGTTGACATAGCCCGATCTTAGAGCTAACAAGTTGGACACAGGCGAAGTTGGACCGAGCTAAGCATCGCGTATAGTAGCGCCGAGCTAAGGTCGTCATTGGGCATGGTTCGATCAGTCTTAAGTAAATAACTCGGTTGGAGTATGCCAAACCGAGGTACAAGCGGTGAAATGAAGACCCGAGCTATGCAGAGCTCGGTCTAACCTGCCACTTGAGCATGACAATATTAGTGCGGTCATTCGATCATACCACCAAGCTAGAACCATCTCACTTGGTTTATGCAGTGAGGGGGGTGTGAAAGGATAAGCATTATCTTTCACGAGTATGATTCCTAGGAGGACTCTACGTGGAGGAATAAGAGTCCTACTAAGATTGTGCTATGCGGAACCTATAAAAGCTCACAGCATCACCTATGTAGAGGTAACACAACTTTGATTCCCGAATACACGGAGCTTTTGTCTATTTATCTATTTTGCTGACTTAGGCATCGGAGAGGTATCTGGCACACACCCAACGGCTAGCTCACGTTTGTATTTTCAATGAGTAAAGCGACGACGTTTGGAGGAGCGCAGACTTGATCAACAGGATTATATGAGAACATAATTTCGTGCTCGTACAATTGGCGCCATCTGTGGGAAGAACACAAAGAACAAAACCTTTTGATTGAGTTTTCCTCTTTAATTGAAACCAAAGGCGCGCAATAAAGACTTGCCGCAATCTGCTCTTGATAGGCAAACCCCGGAGGGGGGTGGGAGGCGTGAAGGTTTGCTTATTATCCATTCCATGGTGGATTTAGAACCCCAGCGACAGAACCCCCGGAGAGATGCAAGAGGGAGGCGGGCTAACAGCCCCCATCGCTCTCAAAGTCCTGAAAGACAGAGGCAGAGAATGAACCCTCAAGTTCTGAAGGATCGCGTGAAGGAGCAGGATGAGATAATAAGGAGGATGACGGCAGACACGGAGTCAATGAAGCACTAGATAAAAGGAAAATGGGTGGCAACAGAAGAGAGGCGCAAAGGCAACACGCCCCCTCGCCATTCGGAGGATTGTGATAGGCGTATCCTACTATCGCAAGCAGAAAGTAGGAGCCTTAGAACGGGCGACACTCAATCGAGGACTTCCAGAACTCGTTACTCCAGGTCTGAGAGAACGAGCCCTGAGAGGTCATATACTGAGGGAAGCACCTATCGGCCCTCGCACATGCACCAAACGTCATCTAGGCACACGGAGTTGCCTAGATCATCTGACTTACGAACTGTGCTTGAAGAAATGGCACAATTGAAGGAGGATACCAGAGCACGTGACCCACGCAGAGTTTCAGCCCTTCAGCAGTTGGCCCCTCGGACGCATGGAAGCGTCGATGTAGGAATGCCAATGTCGTGCCTTGCTTACGAACCAACAGACAAAGCATTAGCAAAGTTACAGAGCTCGCCGTTCGTTCCGGCAATAGAGAACGCACCACTACCGTCGGGCTTCCACCAGCCCAAATTCACCACTTATGAGGGGAAGTCAGACCCCTACATGCACTTGAGTCACTTTTGCCAAGTTATGGCAGTATACTGGCAAAACGAGGCTTTAATGTGCATCCTGTTTCCATCCAGCCGTGGCGACCTAGGTCTAACTTGGTTCGAAAGGCTTCCAGAAGGCAGCATCGCCTCCTAGGCACAATTGGTAGAGGCATTCGTGACTAGGTTTAGAACGAACACCAAGACGCCAGTGGAGATCGATCAACTACTCTCCATTGACATGGGCGACAAGGAGACGTTGAGATCCTACAACAGTCGCTACAGGGAAACCTTCAACCAGATTGGGGATTGCCCTACGAACCTTGCCATTGCACAATACAAATGGGGCCTACCAGTCGGCAACAAATTGAGGGATTCAATTACTATGACGCCACCCCTCATGATGGAGGCCTTAATGGAGAGAATGCACCAGCATATTCGCGTGGAAGAGGATGACACACGTGCTAAAGTGAAATTTGGCACAACAGCAATACCAGATAAAAAGACTTCAGCAAAAGTCAACACGGTAGAACAACCAAGCAGGATGGGCGAGGCAGGCGGGCTCACAGAGAGGATCCAGAAAAAAAGAAGTTAAGAGTTTGCACTGCCATAACCATAGTGTTCAAAAAACCAATCTATCGAATTCTCAGTGAGATACGCAACGAACCTTTCGTTCGATGGCCAGCTAAGTTGGGAGAAGCATAAAAAGACTATGACGAGAGGTCCCGGTGTACCTTCCATGATGAATAGGGACACCACACAGAAAATTGAACGCTGTTGAGGCAACATTTGAAGGAGTTAGTGGCAGCTGGGCACCTGGACCAGTACATAGAATGAAGGATGTAACCAGCTCTCCAGAACCACAACAACCCAAACGGGATGCCGGTCGACGCTTTACCTCAAGGCGTAATTAACGTAATACATGGGGTATTCGAACCTGAGCGGGTATGTGAGCTCAGGGGAATGATCAAAAAGGCTGAGCACTTGAGTGAGGTATTAAGTGCACAACCTGTCGTAAAAAAAGAGAGAACGGAGGCAACAAATGTCATATCTTTTTCAGACAAAGATTTAGCAAGGATATACTGCCCTCACAATGATGCACTGGTTGTCACTCTGCGCGTCAAGAATTTCGACATCAAGCAGATTCTGATTGACCAAGGAAGCTTATGTGAGATAATGTATTACGAAACCTTCAAACAACTGAAACTGAAGGACAAAGACATGGCACCTGCAACATCTCCCCTAATCGAATTCAACTCAATGCTAGAGTGGCCAGTGGGCAAGATAATCCTCCCAGTTAAGGCAGGAACCATGACGAAACAGGTGGAATTCTGGGTATTGAAAGTCCCTTCCATTTACAATATAATTTTGGGGAGGACATGGTTGCATGCCATGCGATCGGTAGCGTCAACCTACCATCAAGTATTGCGGTTCCCCAACGAAGCCGGAGTAATTGAAGAGGTCTTTGGAGACCAAATTATGTCAAAATAGTGCTTCATCACAATAAATGGCAGCCACGCTGCAAAAGGGTTTGTACAGATGGTCGAAGAGCCAGAAAACAATGAATTATTTGCGGATGTCGGCAAGGCAGCTAATCAGAAGGCAGTGGAAGACTTGGTACAGATAAGGATAGATGAAAAAGACCCAGAAAAGTTCTTTTTGCTCGGCTCGTCTTTATCCAGCACCGAGAAAATAGAGGTCATGGAATTCTTAACCTCTATCATCAAAGTGTTTGCTTGGACACCGTATGACATGCCTAGCATTGATCCAAACTTCATCTGTCACCAACTGAACGTCCACACAACTGCCAGACCAGTTATGCAGTGCACTCGCAGATCAGCACTCCACAATGCCGAGATAGTGGCGGAAGAAGTGGGAAACTTGCTGGAGACAGGAGCTATCAGAGAAATGCACTATCCCAGGTGGATATCCAATACCGTAGTAGTGCCAAAGAAGAACGGGAAATGGTGTGTCTGCGTAGACTACAAAATAGTCAACAAGGCATGCCCAAAGGACAGCTTTCCCCTACCACGGATAGACTAACTGGTAGACCTGACGGCAAGACACAATCGACTTAGCTTCCTTGATGCGTACAGAGGTTACCATCAGATCGCTATGTATGAACCAGATCAGGAGGTCACATCCTTTACAACGCCTAGAGGATTGTATTGTTACAAGGTTATGCCCTTTGACCTAAAGAATGCAGGGGCAACATTCCAGCGGATGGTCACCAAGATGTTTGAGCCATTGTTAGGCAGAACAATGGAGGCTTACATAGACGACATGGTGGTCAAGAGCAAGGATGAAAAGGACCATCTCAGGGACCTAGGTGAGATGTTCCAGATTCTGAAGAAGAACAAGTTGTGCCTAAATGTATCCAAGTATGCATTCAGCGTAGGATCGGGCAAATTCCTAGGCTTTCCGGTGACCAACCGAGGTATAGAAGCTGACCCCTCTCAGATCAAAGCAATTCAGGATCTTGAGAGACCCAACACAGTCAAAGAGGTGCAGCATCTCACTAGCCTAGCAGCCGCGCTCAACCGGTTCATAAGTCGGTCGTCAGACAGATATTGACCATTCTTCCAAGTATTAAAGTTTGAGTGGAATGAAGAATGCGACCGCGCCCTAAAAGACCTGAAAGAATACATGTCCTCTCCACCGTTGCTAGTAACCCCAATACCTGGAGAAGAGCTCTTTTTGTACCTGGCAGTTTCACAGCACGCGGTCAATGCGGTGTTGGTCAGAGCGGAATGAATCCAACACCTGCCCATCTTTTATGTTAGCAAGACCTTGCTGGGCGCAGAAACCAGGTACTTACCATTGGAAAAACTGGCCTTAGCCTTGATGATGGCCTCAAGGAAGCTGTCGCATTACTTCCACGCCCACACTATAATTGTCCTAACAGCTTTTTCCCTAAAAGCTTTGTTTGAGAGGGCGAACTTTTCTGGGCGAATCTTGAAATGGGGCAGTTTAATATCAAGTTTCAGCCTAGAACCGTAATAAAAGCCCAAGCTTTGGCAGACTTTATGGCAGAGTTCACCAGGAAGTCATCACATATGCCCAGTTGACTTGACTGGTACAACCGAAATAGGGACGGAAAGAGCTGCAGGAAATGCGCAACCCCTAACA